GCCTAAGCCTTCAGCCTTAGAGACCTCAGTGCCTGCCCTGAAGGGATTCCTCCACACATCGGGAGAGCTGAGCAAGGCCTTGCTGGGGCTGAATCCCCTGCACGTGGGCACCAGAAGTGTAGTGGCAGGCAACACACTGGGTTTGATCAATCAGGTTGATGTGGAAACTGCTCTTGACTGATGCTGGGCTTGAGCCTGTAGGGTTGAGGCTGAACATCAGTCTCCAAAGAGGTGGTGGAATCTCCTGCCTCCATCTCCCACAGCCCCTGGCCGTGGTGCTGGGCACCCTGCTCGGGGAGGACCTGCTGGGCAGGGAGGACTTAGAGGTGCCTCCAGCTTCAACTGTTTTGTCAATCTTTGGGTTGATCTGGTACTAGTCAGTCCTGGGCTTGTTTCCCCAGCTACCTCTGCCTTTGCTCTGTTACCCTCCTATCCCAGCCCTGGTGAGGAGGAAAACCCACCAGCCTTCCTGCCTTGAGGCCAACACTCTGCTCTGTGCCTTCAGCCCTGTTTTCCCATTCCCAGTGTTTATCCTCCCGCACGTAGCCCTGGGGGAGCCATAGGATTGCATGGAGGGAGAAGTTATTTTTCCTTGACATAAACAACCAGGCCTTTCCTCAGCCTCTTCTCTTGAAACGTGGAGGTAGGCCCTGGACTCATAACATCCGGCAGGAGGGGCTGGCCTTATCTGCCAGGAAACACTCAGCTCCGGATACATCCTCCCTGCTCCCGGCACCCGAAGCAGCTCCCATTGGCAGTGCTGGGCAGGAAACCACTCAGCAGCTTGTCTCATTCCCTCCTCTGGAGGGACAGGAGGGAGGGTCTGAACCTGCCCTCCCTGCTCCGAGGAGGAGCTGCAGCTCCATGGGGTGCGTGGATCAAGGGGTGGAAGGAGAAGGATATTATTTGTGAACAGACAGAGGTTAATGTGGGCAAAAAGGGAATCTTGGGGAGAGGGTGGTTTCGAGGATCTTCCTTAGGATCTGCCCCTGGTTTGTAGGGAGACCTCAGTGTGATCCCCTCAATCAGTTCTTGCCTCCATTTCACTCCCAAGCTGCCTGCCTTCTGCTCCGGGAGCAACGGAAGGAAAAGAATAATCTCACATCTGATTTTGTAGCAGGGGGCAGAGACCCCTTGTGCCAAGGACAATACAGGGATTTTGTCCCTTGTTCAGATTCTTGGTAAGAGGCAGCTCATGTTGCAACACCAGACAGAAAAAGGATGGGAGGGAAAAAAGTGTTAGCTCCATTTTACAAACAGGGAAACTGAGTCACGGAGATGCTGCTTGTCACTAGGGTCTGCCCCTGCCCTGTGTCATAGGGACAAGCCCTCTGTGCCACCCATCTCACACCCAGCTCTTCCTGCCATTGGTGATGCTCTCTGAAGAGGGCAAACCCTGGGATCAAGCTTCCCCTTTCCAAAATATTCTGAAGCTTTGTGAGATGGGGGACACCTCCCCCCATCAGAGGTCAGGACATGAAGGAGAGGAGCCACCACCTGCTCAAGGGACGTGAAGGTCATCTCCCATCATGACAGAGCACATCACGTGCCACAGCCCTCAGCCAGTCCCCATCCATGCTATCCGGGAAGGTGACCTCATCCTGGCTCCCAACACCCAACCACCGAGGGTCAAGGGCAGCCTGGGGACAAGGGTTGGACTCATTCTCTGGCTACTTCTTGGCAAGGAGAGGGTCTTAGTCTGGCCCAGCCTTGCCACCCCTGAGCTGCAGCCTGGTCTGAGGTCATTTTATCCCTTCCTGCAGCTCTGATTTGATTTTCCTGCTGGTTCCCAGCCCAGAGAAAGCAGACCACAAACCACAGGACTCTGGTGTGCACAGGAAGGGAGGGGAATCATGCCCAGGAGTGATGGGGAAAGAGTCCTTGGTATGGAGATCTCCCCAGCATTTCTAAACCTCCATGACCATCGCTCCTCTGCAGAAGCATTCCCCTCCCAAGCCGAAAAAAGGTTCTTTTCCACCTCTATTAGCCTCTCATTTTCTACCTGCCCCCTGCAGCTTTGCCAGGGAGAGTGTTGAATCCCAACAGCTTGTTATGGGGTTGGGGTAGAACTCATATCACGCTTTCACCAGGCTTCCAGAGAATGGACAAACAGCTCTGCTCCCGAATTTCACCTCCACTGCCGGTGTGTGCCGGGAGGGAGACGGCGGCTGCTGCCGGCGCTGGGCGTGAGCCCAGATCCGGATGGCAAAGCCTGGCTCCCAGGAGCCACACCTCACCTTGGCTGCAGCTCCCAGTGCCCTCGGGGGGCCCCCGGCTCCCAGCCTGGGCCTGCAGCTGCTCCCGGCGTTCCGAGCATGGGGTGACACGCTGCTGCTGCTCTGCTGCTGCTGCTGCTGCTCCTCACGTGGCTCTGCGCTGGGCGAGTGGGGACAGGCTCATCTCATGGGAGTCACAAGGCTGGAGTGTGCAGAGAAAGCCCTTTTCCCCCAGGAGAAAGACTCTATCCATCACTGAGAGTTCTGAGCATGGGCTTTGCGATTTGCAACAACAAATATGTGAGAAGAAAGGCAGGGACGATGCTTTTGGGGTAGTTGAGTCAATCCCATGGCAATCAGGACATGGTAACAAGGAGTAGGAACTGCCAGTGTCCCACAGAGAAGTGGGGATAGGTGTATTGTTTGTGGGCTCTCCTCACCAGGAGGATGCGTCCCACCTCACTGCAACATCCCCAGGTGCCCCTGCAGCAGAAGGGAACCTTTGAAATGTCCCTGTGGTGGGCATGCCCTTCAGTGAGAGCTTTCTTGGAAGGAAGCAGCCACCAGAGTTCACTGGTTGAAAGGCAGAGCCGTGGCAGAACCATTAAACACCCTGACAAAGCAACGCTGCCTTGGCTATGCTGCTCCATCAGTGCTGGTACCAGCAGAAGGCTTTGTGCCCTGGTGTCACGCCAGTGCCAAGAGTCACGGCAGTGAGCCCAAGTCATCCAGTTCACAGCAGGGTGCCCAGCTTCACATGGCCAAGTGTGGGTTTGGATGCCTGAGCAATGGGCAGAGGAGAACACAGAACTATCTCCATGGGGACAGAGCTGGGGATAAAGGAGTACCACAGGGCTAGATGATCATTATGGTCCTTTCTAAACTAAATCATCCTATAAGCACAGGACAGAGGTATATTGGTGCCTCCCTGGCCAGTCATCCACCTTCTGGGACTACAGGCTGGCTGAGTCACAAGTCGAAGAAGTTTGGAAGGCAAAGCAGCCTGGTTGCATTGGGTTGGATTGGACTGGGATGGGTGACCTCTGGAGCCCCTTCCAGCCAATATATACAGGCAGTCATCACAACGTGCATTAGGTAATCTGCTCCTCCATCACCCGTGCACAGACACGCCAAAGGCAAAGCCTTGCCTTAACCTCACGGTGTCACCTACGTAGAACCCAGCTCTGAAAGGTCTACCCACGAGATGATGAAAGTGGGATCAAGGATGACGTGCTGCCCCACCAACGCACAGCAAGGAAAAGTATGTATAGGTCCTACCTCAAGGTGTTCTATCAGAAAACAATCCACAATTTGTAAAGATAACCACAGATCTTTTTTATTAAAAAAAAAAACAAAACAAACAACAAAACAACAACCAAAAAACAGAAGTAGAAGAGTTTGGCTGAAAATACCAACAACAACAAAAAAACCTTAAAAAAATAGCACTCGCACAGGAAATGTTTCTCCTTTGAAAACTTTGTCAATAGCTACAGCAATTTAAATCATAAAACAATCATCGTATAAAAACATATTTATTTAAATTAAATATTTTATGCAAACTCATATGTACACTCATTCAAAATGCATAGAGTCTCACAAAAAAGATGGAATGTATTAGCTTAAAAACCTGTGAAAAGTCGTGTTTTTTAAGTATTATTTGCAATTATTATTAATACACGTCCGGGACTGAAACCAGAAAATCATAGCCACGCTACTAACTAATCATTACCAAGTGCCATACAGTAAACACTAAGATTAATCATGTCATATAACTGATTTAAAATAAAGCTTCATCTTTATGAAAAGAAAGAGAACTCGAGCAATACAAAATCCGAGGGGAGGAATAATGGAAGGAATAAATCAATGTACAGCTTTATTACAAGCAATAATACGCGGAAGTTAGAGGAGACATTGGGCACTGCGGCTCGAAACATTAAGCGTTCGTCCTCAAAGGATGCTTGATAAAAACGTGTCTGCTACATCATCATCTCTTTGCCAAAGTGCTCATCCGAAGGCTTTTTCCTGGCCTGGTGGGGTGCGGAGCTCCTGCCGCTCCCACTTTGGGATCGCTCTTGTTGGGAGGCCAAGCAGGATCCATAGAGGGCTGGATCCTGCCACGCACCCCTGATCTCAGCCTCACCCGAAATGCATGGAGGTTGCACCCCAAGCTGCCTCTGGTGCCCACCCAGCGCTGCTGCCTTGCTCTCTAGGGTGTCCCCAGGGATGAAGACACCACTTGGGACAACATGACATGTTTGGGGATGGGGGAAAGGCAATGTTTGACTCTGCTGGTGTGCTTGGCCTGGCTGGAAGGCAGCATCACCAAGAGCAGGGACACGGGGCAGCACTGCTTGCCTGGGCCCAAGACCCAGAGTAGGCTCTTGGGGTAAAGCACACGCACAGATCACATGCTCGTTTAGCAAAATCTTCCCTTTTTCCCCACTTCTCCCCTTCAAAGGGGTTTCACCCATGCTGTCTGTGAGCTGCCGCGACCCTCCCAACTCCAAAGCAGAATTGAGGGTACCCCAAAGCAGGATGCAGCCTTCCTGTGCACCCAGACCATCTCTGCTTTGGAAGAGGGGCTTTGACAACAGGAACCCCCCTGGGCCATTTTGGAGCACGACACCCAACGCTTTGCACCTGTGGCAAGCTGACGACCGAAATCCTTTACCTGAGCACCAAGGAGACTCCATGGCCCTCGTGGTTTGGATTCGGACACCCTAAGGGGAAACGAGCAATGTCCCCTTGCAATACTGTCAGGCCCTTCCTCAGCAGGTCTACGTGGCCATGGCTCTAGGAGACGCTGTAGTTGTTGTAGTAGGTGGCCGTGGCGTCGGCAAGGACGGAGATGAGGCTGGTCTCTGCAGCGTGGGAGCTGCCAGCTGTTGAGGCCGCAGGGACGTGTCCATTGGCCAAGCCTCCAGCATGGTGGTCGCTGTGGCCGGGGGTGTTGAGATATTGGTCAAATTCATTACGGTCCATCTCCCCCAACAGCTCAGCTTGGCTCAGCTGGTCCAAGGTGTCAAAGCCATGGTGGTCGGGCGGTGGAGACAGCTGGCCCAGGTGGGCATGGAGGCTGGTGGGGTGCAGAGAGGGGAAAGCGGGTGTGTAGTAGCTTGGAGGAGGAGGAGGAGGAAGGGGAGGACAGCTGGAGGCCGGGGGGATCATGCAGGAATTTGGCTGCGGCATGGGGCTGAGAGGGTGGTGGTTGCATGGGAGGGAGCTGCCCGCATACTCCGGGGAGAAGGAAGCTCCGGCGAGGTGGGAGCGGTGATGTTCCTCAGGGCAGGGTGAGGAGAAGAAGCTCTGTTCAGGGTCTATGGCGTCCAACGGAGACATTTCGGGAGGGGTGGGCAGCCCATAGGGGTAGGCGTCCACGCTGGTGCTGCTGCCACTGCCTGAGGGATCCCGGTAGCCCCGGATGGGCGGCAGCCCTGGGCGAGGGGGATACTCACCCGGCCCCTCTTTCTCACCCCCGGCCCGGCCACAGGTCCGCTTCTCAGGCACAGCATTTTGGTCCCGTGCGAGGCTGCCCAGCAAAAAACCGGGGTCTACCCGCTTGCAGATCCTCTTGACTTGCTTCTTCCTCCGCGGCCGGTACTTGTAGTTGGGATAATCTTGCATGTGTTTGACCCGCAGCCGCTCGGCCTCCTCCACATAGGGTCGCTTCTGTGAGAGGCTCAGAGCCTTCCAGGATTTGCCTGCAAAGGAGAACAGAACTCCCCTTAGCACCCACAGATGCCGTCTTCCCGGCTCCCAACCCATAGGAGGGTTGGGGTATCCCATTGCCACGTAGAAGATGCATCCTACAGACACCGTATGAGGACGAGATGGTGAGGAAAGGGGTTTGAAAGCTGTTTGCCAACATCCTACCCCCATCCTGAGTCCCCAAGCAGGGTCATGCTGTGCTCAGTGTGCGCCGAGCCCCATTGCAAACAACCCAAGGCAAATAAACTCCCCCAGGGCTGGATCCTGCACTGCCTGGCTGGGACTCAGAGCCCGGCGGGGAAGTGGTGCCGTGTGGGGCCATGCCTGGCTGAGCAGGGGTCAGGGCAAGGTGTCCCTGGATGCATCCCAGCCCTGGGCACTGCGACCTTATCACTCCCTGCACACAATGCTTCCACCCAAAACATGAGCTGCACCAGATATTCCCAGAGCAAGGGGGGGGGGGGGTTCATATCCCACTGTATGGATATCCCAGGCTGATCCTTAGGGGTAGAAATGAGGAGATCAGAAAGGTTCAGTGCATTCTCCATCGCCAGAGAGAGAGCAGAAATGACACCATAAGTAGAGATGCTGCTTGGAAAACCAGCAAGGAGAAAACCCCAAAACCCACCAAAGAAAACACCGCAGAACTATCCAAGGAAACACAAAGTTTGGGTAAGAGGCTGGATGGAGGAGTGTTGCAATTCGGGCAGCTTGTTCTCAGGCTCTCTGGGCTGGTTGACTCTGTTTTCCCGCAGCGTGGCACAAGAAATGAGGATTTGGAAAGGGGGGCAATAGTGGATATGGAGTGTGGGGCGGAAATCTGAGTTCAATACAGGGGTGAGATCCCTGCAAAGAAACAGCAGAAACACCCCAAAATCACAAGGGGGGGAGGGGGAAAGTGGGAAAGCAAAGACAGGCAGGAAAATTTGGGGCCCCTCCACATGCGCTCAGTGGGGTTTGTAGCTCCAGGGGCAGCGAGGAGCACACAGGGGTTCCTATACTCGGGGTGCAGGACCCCATTTGTGAGATGTCCTAAGGGAGGTCACCCCACAGGCACTGTCCCGGGGCTCTGCCTCCCACGGGATGGGCGTGTGGATGCCCACCCTGGGGTACGAGATCTGGGTGGGCTTTTCCTCCTCCTCCCAGCACCATGGGATGCCCACACAGGTACCACCCGAGCTCTCCACCCCCCCCCCAATCCCCGACCCCCGCACCGCCCCAGCTCCTCACCGAGCATCTTGCTGAGCTCCGCGTTGTGCAGGTCGGGGTTCTGCACGGCCAACCTTTTCCTCTCGTCTTTCGCCCACACCATGAAAGCGTTCATGGGGCGGCGGATGCGACTCTCGCCTCCCTTCTCTCCCGGTGGGCACCTTGGGGGCGGCCCCGCTTGCAGCCCCTCGGCCTCCCCCCCCTCCAACCTCTCCGGCCATGGGTAGGTGCTCATTAAAGCGGCCATGGCCCGGCCCCCCCCGCCCCCCGCAGCTCCTCCGCCCGCCGCGCTGCGCTGCGTTGCGCTGCCCTCGGGGTCCCCGCGCAGTCCCAGCCTCCCCACCCGACCTCCCCGTATTTATGAGCTCCTTGGAAAAAACCTCCTCCAATGACACCGAAGGGACGGGGCTGCTCCTCCTTGTTTGCAAACTCCTCACCCGGGCAGGAGAAAACTTCTCCCCACCCTCTGCCCGGCACCCCCGGGGGAGGTTGGAGAGGGGAAGGGAGGGGGCACACAGCACCTCGCTGCCCACCCCCCTCTCCCCCCCGCCGCCCCCTCCCCTTTATAATAGAATTTCAGTTCTTTTTCTTTTCTTTTCTTTCCTTTTTTTTTTTTCTTGTACTTTGCTTTGCACGGCGGGAGATGGAGGGGGGAGAGGGGGGGAGCTGGGCTCCCACCTACACCTTCAAAGCGGTCGAAAAGTGGGGAGAAGGGATGGGAGCACATGATATATCACAGGGAAGAGGGAAGAGGTGTAGGGGGGTTGGAAAAGGAAAAGGAAAATGGCTCCAGAAGTGTTCCCCTCCTCCCCTCCCCTACCCCCCTCACTGCTGGCTCCTTCAAACCCCTCCTAATGTTTTGGCAAGCTGAGCCCTTCTGCCCAAACCATATATGTGTGCTGTGGCATCTGTGCTGTGTGTTCTCACCCCATTACCACAAATTCCCACCTCCCTCCTATGGGACGAAGCTGGGACCTGGTTGGGAGTTTTGCAGGGTCACACAGAGCTGGGGACAGCAGAGGGGCTGCAGCAACCCCGTTAAGTCCCCACTGCTCACCTCTGGGACATCAGGAGGTAGGAGAGCCAACATGACACTTTATGGTCTTCTCACTGCTGTGTGTCGTGGTTGCAAAACCCAGATGGGATGGAAGCAGCACCATCACATCGCCACATACCCCATGAACAAATCCTAAAATCCCATTTTGGTGCAGGAAAATCCCCCTTGGGGAGCTCTGTTCCAGTTGGGAGTAGAACCGGCATGAAAACGATGGGACCAAACCAGACCCCTCGCCCAATTCAGCCCTGAGGAATATATTTCAGCTGCTTGATTCCTTTATGATTCTGACCCCCTGACATGGGCTTGGCTTTGACTGATGGTGGATTTCCTCCCTGAGCTGCCAGAAAGCTTTGGGGCCAGAGGGGAAGGCATTTCCTCGAGCTGCCCCCGATGCAGAGAGAAGGGAAAAAATCCAAGGGCAGGGTGTTTGTGCAGGTAGATCCGTGTGCCTGGGTGTTCCTATTGACTCTGGGCTGGTTGAAGGGGATGGGAAGTGAGGTTTGTGATCTGTCTGAATTTCCTGGTTTGTGGCATTGCTGCGGTGCTGCTCCCCAGGACCATCCAAAAACTTCGCGGAAACCACATTTTCCAAAGGAACTGGTTAAATCTATTAAGCTATTTACACGCAGGCTCGATCAGAGCTGTGTTATCTGGGAATACAACAGGAAGGCAAACTTCTCTTCGATCTAAAAGGTGCAGGAGATTTCCTGAGCTTGGGATAGGTTGACAAACCCTTGACACACGCAGAGCAATCACCTTTCATCTGGGTTTCGGAGCCATGCTGGCCCCATGTCACAGCTCAAAGTGCTGGGACTGAGCAGGGAAGGGGGCTGCCGAGCCCTCACCCCACTCCTGTGTGTTTTGCAGTGGGGAATCATAGAATCCTGGAATCACTGAGGTTGGAAAAGACCTCCAAGACCTTCAAGTCCAACCATCAACCCATACCCACCACGCCCACTAACCACATCCCTCACTGCCACATCTCCATGTTGCTTAACACCCTCAGCGATGGTGACTCCACCACAAAATGCTGCACTGGTCCACGTGTCTCTCCTCCCCTTTTTTCCATACAGTTTTCCATAGGGACCACATCTTCCAGTGCTTGGCTACACAGGGCTGGGACTTGTTGCAAAGACCCAAAGAGCGAAGACCCAATAAGCAAAGACCCAATGAGCAAAAACCCAATGAGGAAAGACCCAATGAGCAAAGACCAAAGAGTAAAAACCCAATGAGCAAAAACCCAATGAGCTAAAACCTAGAGCAAAGACCCAAAGAACAAAAACCCAAAGAGCAAAGACCCAATGAGCAAAAACCCAGAGCAAAAACCCAAAGGACAAAAACCCAAAGGGCAAAGACCCAATGAGCAAAAACCCAACGAGCAAAAACCCAGAGCAAAAACCTAAAGGACAAAAACCCAAAGAGCAGAGACCCAATGAACAAAAACCCAATGAGCAAAGATCCAAAAAGCAAAAAACACAGTGAGCAAAGACCCAAATAACAAAATCCTGTGAACAAAGACCCAAAGAGAAAACAATCCAATGAGCAAAAACACAAAGAATAAAAACCCAAAGAGCAAAGACCCAAAGAATAAACACCCAAAGAGCAAAGACCAATGAGCAAAGACCCAAAGACTAAAGACCCTAAGAGCAAAAACCCAGTGAGCAAAGACCCAAAGAATAAAAACCCAAAGAGCAAAAACCCAATGAGCAAAGACTCAAAGAGCAAAAACCCAACAAACAAAGATCCAAAGAGCAAAGACCCAAAGACGAAACTCTCCATCCTCTTGGAGAACTGAGGGAGAAAACCTTCCACATCCTCTTTTTTAGGCTTCCCTTTAGTAGGAGTTAAAACACACTGAAACTCAGGCTGTTTTTCTTTTGAACACGTTACGCTGCTCAGCATTATTTTAAGCTCTTGGGATGCACGAGGCCTGGATACAGTCATTATGATAGCACCACCAGCTCTACACTCGAGGCCCTGGGGACCAGGAGATTTTTTAACAGCAGTGCTACAATAAATCCTGTCCAGGGAAAAGGAAAGGAATGGATGGATGCCATCGGAATCCATTGGCACAACGTGGCTGAGTCTGTCCTGCATTGCAATTCCAGGATGAGAGGAAAGGAAAAAATCCACGGAGGCTCTCGGACCCAATAAGAAGCGCTTTTATTATTTTTTCCCCCCTTCTCCTTTAGCACCTGGCATTCTGATTGCATTAGTAAGATGGGTTTCATTCTGCGCCCTACTGAAAATGCAGGTTAAACCTGTCCTGTAGGCAGCGCCGCGTTACATAAAGGCAGCCAGGCCATGTGAAAATGCCACCTCTTCCCTGCGACAGCACGGGGTAATTAGCAGCAGTCGGGGAAAGCTCCTCTGGACTTTATTTTCTGCTTACCTCCTGGGTTGCAGCGCCACGCTCACCTGTATCTGGGGCACGGGAAGAGGCAGGAGCTCTCGCAGGGATTTGATAGCGGGGAAATTGCCGAGCTAAACCAGAGCCAGCAGACAAAGGGGGGAAGGAAGCTTTGTTCTCCCCATGTCTTGGGGAACGGTGGCAGCAGCTCCCACGGGGTGGCACAAAGAATCCATATAGCCCATAACCACTCTCTAAAAAAATCCCCCGTTTTGGTGCTTTAACCCCAAAGGGTGATTCCCTTTTCACCTTCCCACCCCCCACCTTGGAGAGAAGAAAAAAACGTGTGAGGAAGCACAAATCCTAAATTAGCTCAATAGTTGCATCTTCCTTAATTACAAATGGAGCCCTCCTCCCCATGGGTGGTTGTGCAGAGGCTGCTTTGCCTCCTCCTTCCTTCCCATCCAGGCACTGTCCGGATGCTGGGAGATGCCACAGAGTTCCCTTTGCAGAGAAAGATGTAAAATGTGAACATTTCAGCACACAGTGGTCATTATTTCCACCAGCACCATTTCTGAAATCCAGCTTTAACAGCCTAAAATACATTTGGGTTGGTTTGAAGGGGACAGCAGAATTGCCTTACCTTTTAAAATTGATCAAAACGGGGGGAAAAAAAATCCAACACAAAACTCAGAGTGACTCAGAAGCAGAATTTAAGTTCTGACTTGCTGAGAAATGGAGTTTCACTTTGGCATCGGGACAATTTTCCCACTGCTGCAACCACAACCCTTTTCTTTTCTTTTTTTTTTTTTTTTTTCCCCTTTTTCTTTTCATCATATTTACCAGCCCCACATCACCAAAAGTTTGCTTACAGAAAGACAAGTTTGCTTATCCCAGGTATAAGTAGAGGGACAACACCCTGATTGATGGCTGCCCGGCCTTCTGGCTGCACTGAGTGCAAAAGAATTGTCTTGGTCTGTATATACGTGGCTTGTACTGAAAGTAATGCCTCCTATTTATTTCCATGGCAATTTCAATTAATACAAAGAGCATTTCCATGCCAGACGCCCATCCTGTCAGACTGCCCTTCTGCTACCATCTGCCACGTGGCAACCACACATCATGGGACATTGGTGGGGAGGTTCAGTGTCAACTGCCATCCCACCAACATCCTCAACAGCCCACAAATGCTGGCACTGCCATGAAGCAATGACACCAATAGGGTTTGATTGTGAAGTGAAGGATCTTTCCCTCTGCTAAAAGAGGGCTGGTGAAAGCCTGGTCAAGAGACATCATGTGCCTTTTGAGTTGAATGGCCATGATGGAGGTGACCACACTACCAGCCATGCAGGGCCACAAGTTGGACAAGCTGGCCCTTATTGCCATCCAACCACTCTGCAAGTGCTGTGGCTGAGATTCACAGTCCCATAGCAAACGCCCGTGCCCAGGAGCTAGACAGATGTGAGCAATCCTCACATTGTTTGAGGCCACATTGCTGTCAGGTTTTTTTCTAAGGCTGGCATGATGCTATGTAGTGTTTCCAGTGACTTTGTGTGGTTTTTCTCTCTTCTTGCAGCTTCCTTCCTCCCCTCAGTGTTGGCAGGTCTGGAGGTTTCGTGACGTAAATGGTGCCTTTTGAAGGTGCGTGCTTGAAGAATTTCAGTCTTGTGTGTTTAAACAAGAGAAAATTGGTTAATTACATTGGTGCATTCAGCTAATTTTGCCAAGAGCTGCTTATTTGAAAGAAATGAGCACTGGAACTGTCTTTTGCTTAAAGGAAAACTGCATTAATTTAACAAGATGCTGAATTGAATGGGTCCCTGAGTGCATTTCCTACATTTCACAAAGCAGCTGCATCTCAGCTGAAATTCACATAGACATAAGGATATGAAGTTCTGAATCTTAAATTTTTGTTTTGAAACTTGTGCTTAATAGCACCAACAACCAATTCTTGGATGGAAATTGGAGGAGTGGTGCTCATATCAATCCTGCATCTCCAGAACCATAGAGCAGCAGAATCACAGAATGGTTTGAGTTGGAAGGGACC